CTGCAGGGTCTCACCTGGGAGGGTTCATTTTGTCCCAGTGCCGTCCTGCTGTGAGCACTGGGGCTTTTTTCTTTCATTCCCTGGTGCCAAATGCAGCTCTGGGAATCCAAAGGCTCGCTGGTAATTCCATGGGGCTTTCATCCTTTGTCCCTCCTGCTCAGCTCAGCCACTGGAGCCAGTCCAGGGCGGGCCATGGAGATGCTCAGGGGGCTGGAGCTCCTCTCCAGTGCTGGAAAACTGGGAGATTTGGGATTGCTCGGCTCTGGGGAGACCTCAGTGCAGGCTTCCAGTACCTCCAGGGGCTCCAGGAAAGCTGGACAGGGACTTTCCACAAGGGCTTGGAGTGCCAGCACAGGGGGAATGGCTCCCACTGCCACAGGCAGGGCTGGACGGGATTCTGGGGAGGAATCCTTCCCTGGCAGGGTGGGCAGGGCTGGCACAGGTGCCCTGAGCCTCTGTGTCCCTGGAAATGTTCCAGGCCAGGCTGGACACTGGGGCTGGGAGCACCTGGGACAGGGGAGGGTGTCCCTGCCGTGGCAGGGGTGGCCCTGGCTGGTCTGGAGGGTCCCTTTGTCTGGTTTGGGATCCCAAAACTGCCACCACACAATTGCAGTCAAAGCAGAGCTCAGCCCTGCCAGCCCAGTACCAGATTCCATTCTCCAGTTCAGGGGAAAAGCCCCTCTGTGCCAAGGACAGCAAGGAAGAGGTTTGGGGAGGGGAGCTGTGCGACTCGTGGGGTGTCACTGGGCAGGGTGTGGCTCACGAGGGGCCCCCCAAATTCTGTGTTTCCATCCCACGGGTGATAATGGCCACACTCAGCATTTGGCTGGCAGCAGCCAGGGATGCTTGAGGGGTTTAGTGGATTCTGCAGAGGCCTGTGAACCACTGGCTCCCCTGTGGGGTAATTATTTGGGGCTCAGAGGAGTTCTGGGCCATCCCCCATGGTTGGAGGGACCTCACCAAGCCCTGGAGCTGCTCTGGCCTCACCCTGACCCCTGGGCAGGATGGGGCTGGAGCTCTGCCAGGCACCTTCCAGCGTGAATTATTTCATGGATCTGTGGTACACAAAGGGTTGGAAGGATGCTGTGCCAGGTTATATTCCAGTCCCTTTTCACTGAAAAATCCGTGGGTCTAGGTTGCCTTTTGTTTAAAGATGGAAGTAACTGAATTTTGTTCCAGGGCTTAGTGAAAACCTTTGAATGTGTTTACCTGCATTTGGCTCTCGAGGTGCTGCTGAGGGAGGATGTTACACCTGAAAACCTGCCTGGTTTTCACAGTTTTCTGCCTTTTTTTGCAACGTTGCCGTTTTGTGGAGCATTTCTTATCTTTTGGCACACGGTTCTTTACAAACTCTTTATACCTGGCCCTAATTAATGACTATTTAACATATTTCCAGTTGGTTGCACTGTGGCTGCTCTGCTCTGGGCACTGTAAGAGTTTCTGTCCCTGAATTTTAATTGTAGGAGAGTTTTGTAGCTGTTTTCTGCCTTATCTGCCCTGGGAACACTCCCATGCTCCAACAGAGAATATCTTTGTAATGCACCCTGCTTTGCAAAGGCTTTTACCCACTGACACCCAGCTGCTCTTATGCTGGAACCCCCTAATCTTCAGCTTTTATTTTTTTGTTGTTAGTGATAGCTTCCATGACACTCTGAGCTGCTGGATTCCCTTGTTCTGGAATCTTCCTGTGCTGATTCTGAATTCCTGGAATATTTCTGGAATATGTGCTGAGTGTTTCTGTGCTGGTCCTTGTGGGCTTTGGGCTTCTGGGCTGCCAGGAAACACGGAGAGATTGGGTTTACCTTTTTTTTTTTTGTTTTTAAACTTCTGTTCTAAATCTACTCTGAGTCCACTTTGGACACTGAGGGCAGATTTGGTGGAATTTTATTTTATAAACCAGAAAATGTGGAATTTGGGGGAGTTCCTCTTTATTGGAGATGTTCAGTGTGGTGCCAAATCCAGGGATTTGCTTTGCCAGCTCTGGGAATTGGGTAAACTTTGATTAGCAAAAGGGATAATTGCCAGTCTCCAGAGACTGTGTGTAATCAGGGTTTCACTCTTAGTTCTTAACAATTTTGGAATCAATTTGTTCTCATTTTCAAGTGTCACAAGTGAATCTCCCGTGCAGCCTTTGCCTTGGGTTGTTGGGCTGAGCTGGAAATTCATGTCAGCTCTTGGTCACATCCTCTTGCCATCGTTTTTTGGCAAATACAAAACCTGAACTGGGCATGAAAACACGGCAATTCTCACGTTTGTTTTTTCTGGCCACCACTGATGGGCTGTTGGCTGGTTTTGCTTTTGTCACATTTAATTATTTTACTCAGGTCCAGTGTAACTGCTTGTGCCAAGTGTGGCTCTGGTGTCCTGCTGCAGTTCTGTGTGTGGGCTGTGCCCAGCCCTGGCAGAGCTGGGGATTTAGAAATATTTTCATTTTACTGAGGGAAAAAAAAGGAGAAGCTGGGAGCTGCTGCACCCTACCCGGCCTGGGCTCATTCCTGTTTGCTCGAAATGTCATTTAGGAGTGTGGCCATGTGTGCTGCAGCCTGGGCTGGGGATGTTCAGCCCTCTGGTTGTTTTCCAGTGTGCAGACTCTGGCTGGTCAGCACGATGTCTTGCCTGGAATTTCCTTGCATTCTAAAATTAGGGGAAGGCTCTAGCGAACAATAGCAAATCAAGTCTCAAAACTCCTGCTCCCCTGAACCTTTGTTGTCGTTTAGACTTTCACCCACTTCCTTTGCACCGAGCTGCTCTGCATTCGATAAACAGAGCTAAACAAGCCGCTGATGGCCAGTGCTGAGAGCGGTTATTTCTGCCTTTATTTACTCATTGCACAATTGTTGTGGTGCTCGAGGACATCAGAAGTGTGAATTTGCTGCCGGTGCTCCCTGGCCCCGTGCAAAGGGCAGCCGGGGCTGGGCTCAGGCTCTGCCGGCAGCGGGTCCTGGCTGGGGTTTGGGATCTGTGCAGGAATTCCTCCTGCAGCCCCGCCTGTCCCTGCACTGGAGCTCAGCAGCTCTCCTGTGCTCGCTGCATCTTCCCAGCCTTATCCGTGCCCCCCTTGCCTGCTCCGTGCTCTCTGTCCTGCAGTGCTGGGGGTGCCCCACACCTGGGGGCACCTGCGGGGGTGCTGGGGAGGCAGAGGAGGGAGGTTCAGAGCTCGCTGTGCTGTGTCCCTGTCAGTGACCGCAGGGCAGCCCTGGCCCTGTGTTCGTGTCCCATCCGTGGCTGCTGGGACCCCTCCCAGACAGGGCTGAAGTCGCTTAGCACTGGGCTCTGCGTGTCACTGCACGGGCCTGGGCTTGTTCCTGGTCACTTCCCAGCGCGTTCTGCGGTGGCCCAGCGCTGTTGTTTGTTATTGCTCGGAAACAATGCAGGAAATGCAGCAAACACCCCAGCCCTGGTTCCCATCCTGTCCAGGAGCTGACCCGTGCCAGGGGTCAGGATCAGCTGCGCTGAGTGGTCCCTTGATAATTTCTGTGTCCGGTGAGCTCAGGGGGTGCTGGTGTCCTGCAGGAGTCGCTGCTGGATCCTGGGATTTGCCATTTGCAGCTGATGGATTTCTGGGAGCCCCAAGAAGGGCAGTGTGGAAAAGCCAAGTGTTGGGAGGCTCTTCCAGTCACCATTCCTGTGGCTCTGGTGTTTCTAGAAAAGAGTTTTTGTGCCTTCTCTAGTTCTGTGTTCCTTGGGGCCGTACTGGCAGCTCACCTGTGCCTTTTCCACCTGGCACAGGGGGCACAAATCCCGTCCCTGATGTGTGGGCACCTGGCACAGGTGTCCTGGGCCAGCAGCGTGCACAGCAGGTGTGTGCAGCAGCAGGGACAGCTCCCTGGGCTCGTGGTCTCCTGCTGCTTCTGCTCTGTTGGCTCTTCTGGAGCTGCCTGAACCAACTCAGGTGTGTGCTGCAAAGTGCTCTGGGGTAAATTCCCCGTGTGATGCACAGTTAGTGCAGGAAACAGGGAATGTCTGCTTTGTGTCCTGTGCAGGGGTAATGAGTGATCAACCCAAACTCGTGCATGCCTTTTTTCCTTTATCCTCATCCCTTGTAGCCCTTCATGGCGTTTGGATCCCATAAACCTGGAGTTCTGGAACTTTCTGTGCTCCCAGGCACAGACCCCCTGGAAAACACTGCTCTGGGCCTGAAACCTTGGAGAAGGCTTGGAAATGTGAATATTGAGTTAGAAATCACCAGTGTGCAGTGGGTCAGATGTATGCATTTTCACTGGGTGATGGGGTTTAAATTTGAGGTTTTTACAGTACAGTGGTGGATATATGGGACAAGATGGAGAATTTTGGGTGGTGTCTTTTCTCTTTGTTCTTCTTCCTTCTTCTTCACAAAACTCAGGTGATAATCTTAGAGTGACATTAGGCTGACCAATCAAAGGGTCGTGTGAATCTATTATTGGGTCAAAAGGATAAATAAGCGTTAAACTTCTATTAGTTTATTTGGCTTTAAAAGGCCTTGCAGCAGCCTCAGCTGGGGCCATTTTTCCCACTTCTGGCAAGGAGCTGGAGGTGCTGTCACACTTTCTGTAATTTCTGATAAGATACAATAAACACCCAAGCCCGAACAGGAGAATTGTCTCAATCGTGTTTCTGTTAATCCTGGCTGTGGGGAAGAACAAATGAGGCTGATAACAAACCACTAATGAGCGGTTTAGAGCAGCACACGCCCCGCAGGGGGATCCTGATCCCTGCAGGGACCGGGCGCCGGGAGCAGCCAGGGCTGGATGCTGCTGGCAGGAGAGGGCTGTCCCC